AGATGGCACAGGTCCGGAAGCTGGCGCGTCACAGTCCTGCGCTTCAAGAGGTGTCAGAAATGGCCCATCGGAAGAGCTCTTGAAGTTTGCACAGTTCCCGCCTGCAGGAGCGTTTTTTTAAAACGAGGCCGACGGGTGCCTTCATGCGGTTCGCAAATTCGAGAGTTGGCCTCCGGTCGCGGCGGACAAATCGTCGCTGCCCTGTCATGTACTGTCTGTCCGACAGTCAAGAATGCTCACGAGAGTAGAGAGTCCGGAGTAAGTGCAGCCATGACAGCACTTGATGCCAATCCAGGAGTCTGACAGCGCTAGTCGAACTCTTGAAAATTTTCATGTGTCTAGCGTAGTGCAGCGAGGCTCTTTGTTTGCAGGGGTCCCCTGTATAAGCCTTAGAGGCTCTCCACACAGGCTGCCCTTTTCTTTTTTTTTTCTTTTTTTTTTTTGCCGGGGTCCCCTGTATAAGCCTTAGAGGCTCTCCACACGGGCTGCCCATTTTTTTTTATTTTTTTTTTTTTTTTTTTTGCCACACAGGCTGTCTAAAGCCCAGGTTTTCAACAATTTTGCATAGCCACACGGACTTTCGAAGAATTGCCGCTCAAATTTTTTATTTATTTATTTTCTTTTCTTTTTTTGGAGAAAACTTTAGAATTTTCATTACCAATAAAAAACAGGCTGAGGCCGGGGACCTCACACTTCTACCCGGATGCCTGGGGCCATTACCCAGGATCGGCTACGTATTGAGAAGAACGAAAAAAACTGGGTCCCACTTCCCCCAACCTGTCCTTACTTCTAGGTAGCTCTCCAAAAAAAAAGATAAAGACTCTGAAGCTCATGGAAAAAAGGAGTGAAAGATCAGGAGTTCCCGGGCCAACTCCTGACTTTCACAGTCATATCTACCTGTCCCTCCACTTTACCTAATATCCCTTATCGACAAGAAAGAAACTATCCACCACCACCATAACTCTTCCCACCCCTACAGGTAGAGCGAACAAGACCAAAAAACCGGATAGGAAACGCCTCGTCTATATTAACTGGGGAAAAAAAAAACTTGCTGCTCAGGGTGGAGTACTAATCCGTTCTCCATGACCTATCGTGGTCAACAGCCATGAGCAGACAGAGAACCTCCCCCGGTCATCTACACATGCCAGGCCGTTGTTCCTACCCCAGGTATCTTTAAACCGTTTCAATTGCTTGGCATAAACCACCCTGGATGACCGCCTGCTCCAATCGCAGATTATCGTTCTTCTCAGCTCTGGATATCAGACATGCCTTGCTGGCGGAACAGCATATTATTTCTATCGTCCCAAATAACTTTCATGATAATAGCCCTTGAGGCCTGAGCCACGTATTTCCACTCATTTTTCCCTGTTCTACAGCCTGTCAGGATCCACTCATCAGACCACTCGAAACTATTTGAGGTGAACCTCACCCAGTGTTGTATCCACCAATCCCATATTCGCCTCTATGCTGGGCAGCTCAACCATAAGTGTCTAGAGGTCTCCCAGCCCCACCTACATCTTGAGCAGACCGTAGAAACATCCATACCCTTTGCAGCTAACCAAACTGCTGAGGCTGTGGCCAAAAGGCTTTGTAGCCATAACATGCTAGCTAATTTCTGGGATGGCAGGCCTTTGAGTTCCACCCACAATGCTTGCATTGTCTCTCGAGTAGTGCTCAGTTCTCCTTGTTCCAACCTTCTTTTGGTTACAGTCACAAAAGGCTGCTTTTTAACGTTTCCCCTAAGGACTTCCATACCCACTTTCGGCTTATAGTCTATTAAAGTTAGGGTTTTGCTTTGTTCTGCACTGTACCAGCCCATGTTCACTGGGTTCGAGCCCAAAGCAGCCAAGGCCAAGCCTCGTGCTACCACCTTCCTGACGGCCGCCCGTGCTGCGTTTCTCCTTCGGACTGCAGGCTGTGTAACCACAATTTCTTCCAGTTCTGAAATCTGCGTTAGATTTTCCTTGTTACCTTGATAGATTTCATTGGTGAAGGAAAAGTCATCCGACACATGCCATCTGCAAGCTTCATATCCACCTTCCAACGCAGGGCCTACAACGTGCCAAATTTCAAGAGAACCATCCACACCTACCTTTCTACCCCATAAACCATCCAGTGGAACTGCATTGGAACGTAAGACTCGTTTCCAGCTATCCGGGATGGAGTCAATTAATCTCCCGAAATTCCGTTGAACACCCTTTAGCCTTGGTAGCTTTAGTTTCAACTCAGTAATATCTATCCATTCTGATTTATTGCCATCCCAGATGTCTCTGACTCTTACCACTCCCCTCTCGACCCAGCTCTTTCCAAAGTGGCCCGCCAAACCATTTGCTAAGAACAACCTGTTCTCAGCATCCTTTATCAGCGGGTTCTCGAACAAAATTTCCGATAATACAGAATCTCTAGATTCAGGGTGAACCTTATCTGTTGGGATAACTGTAGAGGACCATTCGTTTCCGGGCGAACCATTTGCTCAAAAGAATTTCGACATGTGTCAGAATGGCACACTCATACAGCCACCCTGCCCCATTCGTTTCCTCCCGTTCGAAAGTGCCCCACCCAATCTCTATAGTCAGGGACTGTTTGGTTGCGGGTCGGCCATGCCCTGTGGAAACGGGGAGTCCATTAGGCCAACTGTAGACAGCCGACGGACTGTCGATTTTTTTCTGACAGCTGTAGAAACTCAGCCTGTGGGGTGAGCCTCTTAGGAGTAGTGGTAGGTAGGTAGTGAAGCCTGAAAGATGATGAAAAATGGAAAATATATCTGTTCTGATCAGTTTAATATCTGATCCGTGTTCCATCGGGCCACATGATATTAAATTAATTTTTCAGGGCTACGGATTGGTCATACGGGTAGGCTTGCCTACTCGACCCTTCCAGCGTCGCCTTCGTCTTGCACTGCAGCCAAGCAGCGGCGCGGCCCACTGCCCCCCCGAGGGCCCGTGCTAATTGGCAAAAAAAAAAAAAAAAAGAAAGAAGGAAAGAAGGATGATGAAAGAAAAGATACGAAAGATTTGAGAGATGAATTTAGTATTGAGAAAAGAAAAGAAAAAAAAAGTCAGCGGCCGTGCTCAGCTCATAAAGCATTCAACACTGGCAGTCAGCTGATGATGGGTTCAACTCGACCTCATCTACTTACCTGGGCATATTTGGCACGCCCGTTTGAGGACCGTGCAGTGAATGGGGTGAGGGTGGAGGGGGACGCAGGTCAGGGGAGGGGAAGTGACTGGTGCAAAATGCTCGGTCCTCACGCCACGCTGCCAGTGTCGCCCACCTGCAGGTGTGCATTCTCAGATTCCTGCAGAATCTATGGGCATCGCCCCAGTTCACAACACTCTGCCTGCGTTCGGACACTACTCAAAATGTCGTCCGCGTCCAAATGCACCTGGATCAGAAAGCCTCCAGATGCATGTAGAGTGTTGTGTAGTGGAGCGAGGCCATTTGTCCTTTGCATCGTATTGATGTACCTGCTCGTCGCGCCTCCGGCGCCAGATTAGTACTGGAGGTTCCTCAGTGCTGCCATATCAGTAGCAAATGCCACCCAATTCATCTCTCTCTCTCTCTCTCTCTCTCTCTCTCTCTCTCTCTCTCTCTCTCTCTCTCTCTCTCT